TCAATATAAGCTCCAGAAGAAGAGGTTCAATGAGTTCTTATCTGAAGACATTCACAAGGATGATATTAATAAAGTAGAAGCTTGATTTTACTATGCATGTGAAAAGCTTGATTCGAGCTTAATTTAATCATGAATTATTTTTTCTACTTTGTTAGTGTCATTTTCGTAAATATCTTTAGATAAAAACTCTTTGAACCTCTTCTTCTCAAGTTGAGATTGAGAACGAAAGCAAGAAGATGGAGAGATTAATGCTTTATAGGCCTCATAAGTATAAAAATGAATGATATTTGGTCAAAATTGAGGGGAAGGTGTTGAATGATCCATCTCTTATAGTAGAGGCTACCCAATGCTCTTCAAAAAATAGTTCATGGTTAAATTTACACATTTACCATGTTGACGTGTCGTGTCACGCGTCATTATGAGTCTCATATAACGTTCGTTAGCTGAAATTAATGGTGTGCTATTGGATGCTTTATTTTTAAAAGTTTATAATTTATTTTATATTATTTGATAATTTAGACTATCAGATGCTCTTGAAAAAATAATTTAGAATCAAATTTACACCTTTACCTCATATATATATATATATATGTATGTATGTATGTATGTATGTATGTATATATATATATGTATATGTATATGCCCGCGCGCACATGGCATGTCATCATGCAGATGCTAGCCAGTCGTACTTGTATAGCACTCCCTCCGAATGGGTCCCTTTTTACCAACATTTCACCAACCTCGTTATTTTTTATTATTTTACAATTTAAAAACAATTAACAGCGAGAGTAGCCGATGATTAGATGGCTTATAGTAATGATTGACAATAATTAAAGAAATTTACACGAATAAAAAAAGAAAATATTGGAGAAATATTCAACATGTAGGAAAATTTACACTAATAAAAAAAGAAAATATTGGAAAAATATTCAACATGTAGGAAAATTTACACTAATAAAAAAGAAAATATTGGAAAAATATTCAACATGTAGGAAAATTTACACTAATAAAAAAGAAAATAGTGGAAAAAATATTCAACATGTAAAATAATTAAACAGTTTTAATATCAGATAAACTAATTAAGTTCATGTTTGGATATCTATTAAGGACATCTAACGGCAGGGTATAAGATGATTGATTAATAATTTAATATCCATGGAGTCGTATAAGGCCAATCCTCATTATTTTGTATTTATTAGTAGTCAAAGGCTATGCTGCCCGAGCTTCGAACTTCTCTGCTTTATGTGATCAATTAAGAAAACTTGACTTCTATAATTTCCTTTTTTTTTCCCTTTCCCCACTAGTGAAAAAAAGACCTTTCCAAGTGCCTATTTGGACAAGATAAAATAATCAACGCTAAAGGTATGTTTATATTTCAAAAATATTTTTTAAGAAACATTCAACATTTTAAATTATTAATTAAAATAATTTTATTTTTAAAGTAATTAAAATAGAATATTTTTATCTTTGTCATGAAATTTTTTAATGATCAATGTTGGAATCTCAGTTAGCATTTTTTAATTATTAATGTTGAGAATTTGATGGCAAAGGCAAAATTGTTTTAAGTAATAATTTAATGTTTTAAATTCTCCTTAAAAAATATTCCAAAAATAAAATGCATCATTATCCAAATACTAAAATTTCTTTGTTTTTTTTTTTCGATCCAGTTTCTTCACCACTGTGAACCTCAGTTAGATTCAGGCATGATATAGTTTTTAGTTATTGGGCGACACGGTCGCATGCCTTCTGGATCCTTTAATTTCATTTCCTTTTTCCTTTTTCATTTTGAAATCCTTTTTTCCTTTTCCTAGATACTCCTACGTCCTAACGAGATACACTGATCTTCCTGCTTTCTAATTAAATTACATATTTATGTTTATTCTATTATTTAAGAAAGTGACACGAAAGCTTTGCTTGGAATGATAGATATGTGTTCCTTGACAATCTTTTATATCTTCTATACATAAATCAATTTTTGGTAAGCTGCATCAATCTCAATTTATAAAATATTTTTAAACAAAAACATGTATAGTAAAATTCATTAAATATACTATACAATTTTATTTTTTTAAAAAAATATAAAATTTTAAAAATAATATTTATTTAAGATTCCATAATCTGAACACAAAAACAGAAATTGTGCTTGTAATTTAGTTAATGCATTTTTTAAACCTACTCCCGCAGGGTTTAATCTAGTTTATAATGATATTTATATAACAATTAATATTTTAGTTAGTTAATGCATTAATTAGTTAATTGTATTTGTAATTTAGTTGATGCATTTTTTAAACCTACTCGCATAATTTAGTAATTGTGTTAATGTGTTTGTCCATTTTAGTTAATGCACTTTTTAATTGTGTGTTCAAAACGATATTTTTATCTTCGCGCGTTTCCGTCCTCGCCCTCAGGTTTCCGATTCCCCTAGAAAACCAGTGGAGGTTGGTGAGAAGAGCAATTAATTTTCTGCATTACAACAAAAAGTTATTTTTGACTGAAAAGATAATGTGATTTCTTTTTTTATTATTTATTTAAAGGACAAAGAGTGATACTTTTAGATTTGCCCTAGAGATAAACGAATGTAAAACATGATAATAAAATACAATGAGGAGGAAAATATGTATGCTTTGTTCATTGTTACTGTGATATTTTTAATTTTGAACAATTAAATTCATGATATTAAAGTGATTATGAATTACATAAATATAAAATTAATTAAAATTATATTAAAACGATCATCTATGGTCAAGAGTCAATGGCTATTATAATTATTAATTTTAAATGTAATAAATAATTATAATATTATTAGTTTATTTTTTATTATATTCAGATACATGAAATTAAAATATTTATCTAGTCTTAATGAGTTTGATTCCCTTTTAATTATGTAACTATCTCTGATATATTTTTTTCTTTGGCATGGACCAATTACCCATAATATTCACACCTGACACCTACACATATTTACACTCCTACCACTATAAAAAAAAAACTTTTGACAATGAGAAAAATCCAAAGCCACAAAAAATTATTAGTGATCGAGCTTTTTGTGGTAAACCTAATTTTTTGAAAGAAAAAAGAGCCATTTTATACCACATCAATTGACACCTTGTACCACATATGCACTTTCTTATTCCCACTACCACAGAAAATACCCATACTTGATGCTTATTTTTCCAATATTGACGGTTTTTAACCGTCAAGTAAGGGTGCGACATATATTAAAGAAATAATACTTGACGGTTAAAAACTGTCAAGTATTTAATCTTATACTTGACGGTTATTTAAAAACAACCGTCAAGTATATGAAGTAAATATGCACTTCCCAGCATAAATACTTGACGTTTGTTTCAAACAAGCGTCAAGTATTTACAAATACTTGACGCTTGTTTCCTTATAACCGTCAAGTATTTACAAATACTTGACGCTTGTTTCCTTATAAGCGTCAAGTATTTTGATACTTGACGGTTATTTTGAAATAACCGTCAAGTATTAATGACATAATTTTTTTTTATGGTAGCTGCTTTTAAAGCAGCCCCCTGCATAAAGATACAGATAAAGATAAAAAACAGCCAGCCAGCAACGAAAATAATGCAATATAATGAATGTTTGTAATAGTATCTCCTATCTAATTAACATAAAAATTCCTATACATTTAACCTTAAAATCTAAACTTATTTGCAAACTAATGTTTCAAAATTAAGTGGCCTATCCCATAAAAATTGGCCCAAAAATGTGTATATAAATGTAACTAACTATTGTACCGGCCTAACTACTGTTGCTACCCACATATTGAAAACACATTGGGCCACCTCTTCAAGGACCTCTTCTACATGTGCAGTCGTATAACGAACGCAATAGACGTCCTCGAAGTACTGTAAGCAAATAGTTACAACAATTTCAAGTTAATAGGTAGCTAATTAAAATTGTTTAAAATTTATAATTGAAGTGTAATTAAATTTTATATATATACCTTGTTAGATAATGTGGTAGGGGCATGAGTGATAATGTCCTTCATGAACTTCATCAAGCAATAACCACAGTCATTGCTCTGATCTGGCTGGAATGGACACTATAAAAAAACACATATCAATGAAATTGCAAAATATAATGAGACAATTTCTTGATTAAAAACTTGACCAATTAAATGAATACCTTAACAGTGACCCATTTCTCTGAAGATTCGAATGCCCTCATCTTAGGGGACACAGTCATGTCGGTCGCAGTGCGATACAACACCACAGCTCTAAGAAGGAATTATGGAATGAATGTGAGAAATATATATGAATGAAAACTAAAATTAAAAAGAAATAACAAGTAAAAAAATCTAACTTACTCATTAAAAAGTACCACCATATCTTCCCTGTTGCTTGGCTCTCCATTAAGGGGATCGAGATACCATATTTTTGGAGCAACGGGATTAACCACAATAAGCATCCAGTGTCCCCTAACAAGAAACAGCACATGTTACCAAACAAATAAATATAAAAAAAATATTTACTCGTAACAAATATTAACAACTCACCCTTGGCAGTAAGGAGCGAGAAATAAAGTATCCTTCGCTGCTCCCCTTTCTCGAAATTGATCCGAAAGCATTCTTGCTTGATTTTCAAGGGCTTCCTTTGTAATATTATTGTGGGGAGAGACATCATGAGGATTAACCAGCTTGATCTTTGACTCGAGGCCACCAGGAACCACGAATGAGGTATAAAGGTGACTTGGGTGAAAAAATATACAAGTTAATATGCTTGCATACTCACACACATAAATAATTCAAGAAATTAACTAATAAATGTTGAAGAATTACCTCATGTAGAAAGTCATCAAACTAGTGCTCGCCATATCGTGCTTGAGGATTTCATTCAAAATTTCATCCCGAACGACTTCAAATGATGCTCTACCAAATAGCCCATCGTCAAAATTAATGATATCCCCTATCGGCTCTTGACGAATCATCCTCGTAGCCGAAGCATAGGTCTCAAGAGAGTCACGGAATTTGTTTTCTACAACAGGCATAGGCACTGCATGTTGCAAAACCGTGACTGACTCTTTAGTATGGCCCGACACCTTATCCTTCAATTTGCTTTTCCCCCTTGGCTATACAATGAAAAAGTTAGACATATATATATATATATATATTAAAGATTTTAAATAATTATATAAATCATATATACCTTTTTCTTTGGTGGCAAGGGGTCCTTTGGCGGCTTTGGTGTACCAACCATAACAAGGTGGCTGGGCCATGCAACGAAGCTCCCCAACGCATCTCCTACCGTCTGCATCTCATCGGTAGGATAAGGTAATGGATACTTGGGGTCGATTGCAACAAGCAAGGAAACCCTAATGCAATCGGGCGGGAGGGGAAGGTTATGGATTGTGTCCCCGGCAATGTTATACACGCGTCCCGTTGCAACTACTTTGCGTGACGGATTGTCTGCTAAACAGTTGCAGTCATTCTCGCCCTAAATAAATGAAGAATGTTAGTTGTTTAGATAAAAAATTAGTTGAGCAAATTTAAAAGAGAAAATGCATTACCTCGGGTATTTTGTCTGAAGGGACTGTGCAGCTATCTTTTCCGCTGGGGCTAACGTCACCCAAAAGCCTCCCAGGGATCTGGCCCTTCAATAGCATGTCAATTAACTTTGCTTGGGCTTCTAGCTGTTGCTTCATAACAGCTTGCTCTTCTCTCAACTCTTGGACCTCGGATGAAGAAGCCGATGTTCGCTTCTTAATCTTGCCAAAGTATTGCTTCTTTGTGACACCGAAGCCAACACCCCTAACACGACCAGGGTGGTCAGGGGTCCCCAACGCTCTAGCTAAGATATCCTCATGCTCAGGAAGCTTGCCCTGTGATACTTCTTGAGAGAGGGAATCCTGTGAAAAGTAGAGCTAATTAGTATGCCTTTTAATAATCATTTATTAATTGATAGATAAGAATAACACTTACAATTTTTTCAGCAACCTCTTTCACACGAGGGTTGTCAATCACTCCATCTTTATTTGTTCGTGCCAATGCCCAGAGTCTTTGGCGGGATATAGTAACATCCGATCCCTCGGCCTCAACTTCTTTCTGCTCCACGCCTGCATACCCTAACCTCCCTGCTCTGTAAGGGTATTCATTCTTGGCCACTCTCTTCTTATTTTGGGCGCTCAGTTCCTTTAATCAATAACAAAAATATCCTGTTAGTACACATAGATATATTCAATAAAAGGCACTAAAATTTAAATTTTAGAAACATAAATACCTTAAATTCCTTCTCGCGCCGAGAGACAACAAAAGCATCCCAATCTTCTTGCTTTACTAAAGGCTGTAATAGGGGAGGAACTTGGGCTACAAATTCAGCATCAGGGTCTTTCAAATATTTTTGTGTAATAAAATGTCTGAAAGACCGTAATGCCCTCCCAGCCTTTTGAAGGACAAAATCCTTCTTGCTCTCGTCTATTTCAAATCCTGACTGTAAAATAAAATAAATATGTTAGGTGCATCAATTTATAATATTATAATAGAATATAACTTAGTCAAATGCAACTTACAGATACAGTCTCCCAAACAATGTCCTTCGTGGCTTGATCAACTTTGCGCCAAGATTTCTGCGTGATAGGTACAGTTGTCTTTGCCACAACCCCAATATAACTTATAAACTTTGCAGATTTGATGGCTTGGCCTTTCTTGTTCCACTGCACTGATATTTTTTTCCCTGCTGCTCTTGTTTTTGTGACTTCTTCCATTATTGTTAGGCCTCGCTGGATATTGTAATATTCCTGTTCCAATTTTTTTTGTGACAACGGAGCATCAGTACAAGTTGTAGCGGGATCTGATGGAGGGATTTCAGTGGACTCAGAATCTGAAGCCATTTACCTGTAACACAATAAAATTTCAAAATTAATCAACCATGATTAATTCAAAAAATTAATCAACCATGATTAATTCAAATATAATCGACTATATTAATTCAAACATGAAACAAAAATGGCATAATTAATTCAAAGGTTACATGTTCAAGTTGCTCTTTTTCGTTTCCTTGACTTGGGTTTTTTACTTCCCCCTCCTTGAAATATTTTCTTCTTATGCTGAAATAATTTACCCCTCTTTGAAATCCAAATGCCTTCATTGTGATCATTTCTCATGTATAGAGCTTCATCAACAGTGTCGTTACTTTGATTTGATGTCCCTTCGAATGGGTCATCTTCAATTGCTACATTTTCATTTATTTTTTCATGTAACATAAGAATAGACCACCCCTTATTAGCAGGGTCAGGGACATAAAACACTTGTTTGGCTTGTTGCGCTAAAATAAAAGGCTCATCCTTATACCCTTCCTTGTTTAAATTGACTTGTACAAAGCCAAATTGGTAATCAAATTTCAAGCCATTTTTTCGATCAATCCACTTGCACCCAAAGACTGGAACTCGAAAGGATATGTAATCTAAATCCCATATATGCTCAATTACACCAAAGTATGACATGTTTGCATAGATAGGATTTTTATCCTTAGTGCTGGAAATATGCATGGAATGAGCTACAAGAGTTACACCACTATTTTGCATTGTGCTCCTATCATCTTGCTCCCTTGTATAAAATGTGTATCCGTTGACAAGGTAAGCAGTGTAAGAAATGGCCTGTCTGCTTGGACCGTTAGCTAACCATCTCAATTTGTTAGAAACTGAATTGGAATCAACATTTAACTTTTGAAGAATGTGCTCCTTAAACCATCTTGTAAAAGTTTTGTTGTGTTCCCTAGCATACCAAATTTCTGATTTATTGAGATTGTCCCTCCTAAGTTCAGCCATATGCTTGTCTACATACTCTTCAACCTCTTCAGTGTTGTGCAACACATATAAGTGGGCTTGCTCCCACTGTACACTTGACATAGTAATGACTTTGTTTCCCATGATCCCTTCTCCACTTATTCTACCCATATGTCGAGACTTTGGAAGCCCAACATAGCTAATATGACTCAGGTACTCAGTACAAAAGTCAACAGCCTCTTCACAAATATACCGTTCAACAATACAACCCTCCGGTCGACTTTGATTTTTCACATAGCCTTTCAAAATCTTCATATAGCGCTCAATAGGATACATCCATCTTAAATAAGCAGGCCCGCACATTTGAACCTCCCTAACCAAGTGAACAGTTAGGTGGATCATAATATCAAAGAATGCCGGTGGAAAATACATCTCAAGCTCACACAGTGTTAATACAATTCGAGCTTGCAACCTTGGCAACTTATGTGGGTTAATCACTTTACTGCAAATGGACTTAAAAAACAAACATAACTTAGTGATCGTCCCTCGTACTTTAAGGGGTAAAATTGCACGTATAGCAACTGGAATGAAATCCTCCATTAAAACATGGCAATCGTGAGACTTTAAGCCCTTCAACTTCAAATCTTTCATTGATACAATATTTTTTATATTTGAAGAGTAACCCTCAGGAACTTTAACTACATTAAGGAACTCACAAAATGCAGTTTTCTCTTTCTTAGATAGCGTATAAGCTGCCGGAGGGAGAAAGGTACGGTTCCCCTTATCTTGGGGTGCTAATTCTTCTCTTATTCCTAAAGAGACCATGTCCAACCTTGCTTTTATGCCATCTTTTGTTTTTCCTGACACTTGGAGTAAAGTCCCAATAAGACTCTCACAGACATTTTTTTCAATATGCATGACATCAAGAAAATGCCGAACATCCAAGGTGGTCCAATAAGGGAGTTCAAAGAAAATAGATCTCTTCTTCCATCCGGTTGTCCCAAGGTGCCTTGCAAATGGTTTGCCAAATTCAATATCCAAATCCTTAATCTTCTCAAACAACTCATCACCAGTTAACGGCAAAGGTGTCTTACCTTCTTCTGGATTTCCATTGAACGCTTTTCTCAACCGCCGATAATGATGTTCTTGGTGTAAAAACCTACGGTGGCTGAGGTAAACATTCTTCATCCCATGTTGAAGCCTTATAGAATGTGTTCCCTCTTCACAAATAGGGCATCCAAGTTGCCCTTTAATGCTATACCCTGACAGATTGCCATAAGCAGGAAAGTCATTGATTGTACCGAAGAGCATAGCTCTTAAATTAAATCTTTCTTCTCTATACCCATCATATACCTCTATACCTGACTCCCACATGATCTTCAAGTCATCAATTAGAGGAGCCAAATATATGTCTATGTCATTCCCAGGTTGCTTGGGTCCCGCAATTAGCATGGACAACATCATATACTTGCGCTTCATGCAAAGCCATGGAGGAAGGTTATAAATCACTAAAATGACTGGCCAAGTGCTGTGGCTACTACTTTGAATCCCATGAGGATTCATCCCGTCGGTAGACAATGCAAGGCGTAGATTCCTACTCTCTTCCCCAAATTCAGGGTACTCATAATCAATCTTTCTCCATTGTGGAGAATCAGCAGGATGACGAAGCATGCCATCTTTTATCCTTTCATCCGCATGCCATGTTAAGTTTTTTGCAATTTCTGCACTGCTATACATGCGTCTAAATCTAGGCACGATTGAAAATACCATAGTGCCTTCACGGGACTTGATCCGTTCTGCTTGTAGCGTGAGGCATTACACTTCGGACACTCGGTTAACGACGCATATTCATTTCGAAATAAAAGGCAATCATTAGGGCACGAGTGTATCTTTTCATAACTCATGCCAATTGATCGCAATACTTGTTTTGCGTCATATGTTCGACAAGGAAGCTCATTTTCCTTAGGAAGTAATTCTACTTTCAAATACCCAAGCAACTCAGTAAAGCTTGCATCACTCCATCCATGTTTTGCCTTCATGTTGTACAATTTTAACACTGCTGACAACTTTGATGCACTACAACCAGCATACAACGGTGTCTCCGCATCACTTTTCAACTTCTCAAACATTTCGGATAATCCTCGAGGTCCTCTTCAACTGCTTTGGCCATCTGTTCAAGACAATCTTCCTCAAGTGTGCATGTGTCAAAATCATCAGGAGATGATGCACAGCTTTCACTATGCTTCTGGCTGCAACCAATATCATCTCTTGTCTCTCCATGCATTGTCCAACACTTGTAACTTTGATCCATCCCATTAATCACGAGGTGTTCTTCACAAGTATCTGGACTAACCCGCTTCACAAGACCACACTTTAAACATGGGCAAACAATCCTAGTAGGATCCTCCGCATGCTTAACTGCAAGCTTAACAAAATTTGCCACCCCATCCCAATATTCCTTGGATAGACGATTGACAGACATCCATTCCTTATCCATAATTCCTAGAAAGATTAAGAGGAAAATATGATTAGTGACTTTGACTACTCCTAGATAGTGGGAGAATTAGATACAAAGATCAATTAGTCAATAAGTCACTAACCACATGTTTGCACATTCCCTCTTTAATCTTGTTTAAAACTAATAATTATATTTTAATGCTAGCCATTGAAATAATTTCGACAGCATAACAACTTAAAAAAGAGAGTTTCCGGGCCTTATCCCCTCTTCCTATTAATCTAAATGACAACAACAACAACATCCACAACAACAAACACATAAAGTTATATTCAAGAATAATTTTAAAAAAATTGATAGTATATATAACGGCTTAAAATGAGTATTACCAGGTCTTTATGCCTTTAAAAAAATCAAGTTATCCATAATGAGACTATATATGATCCAACAACAATAATAACAACATTAATAAGAAACTCAATTTTAATTAAAATCATATTAAACCACATCAAACACTATATAAATATCAATTTAAAATATCAAAAATATTAAAAACAAGGTAATTAGGTGGTATACTATTTTCATATCCTTAATGAATCTCCTCATATCAACAAAAAATTGGATGATCCCTTAATTCAATAATTAAGTACCCAAAAACTCAAAACTTCAAACACTCACTGAGAAGAACAACAATGCAGATCAAAATAAATAACACAAAAATTATTTATTATGTATGAAAATCAAAATCAACAACCCATACATTCAAAATGAAGATTAATGATTGGGAAAGCAAGAACCTACCTCAACAAGAAGAGGGAACACCGACTGTGCAGAAAAACAGAGATGAGAGTCTGATGCAGAGTGATAGAGACTGAGAATCCCAACGAACGAGTGCCCACGAGACTTATGGAGGCCGAGAATCAAAAACCCCTCAAGAATCGAGACCGAAAACGTGTTTTTTGGCAGTTAGAGTGATGAAAAATGGGTTTCGGTGGCTCTGGGTTTGTTTCTGAAGATGAAGGATTTGCAGAAATGGAGAGCGAAAAAGAAATCTGGAGAGAATTTAAATGACAATACTTGACAGTTATTTCATAATAACCGTCAAGTATTACATATTTGACGCTTGTTTTAAAACAACCGTCAAGTATATGGCAGACAAACTTGACGGTTATTTCAAAACAAGCGTCAAGTATGTGAAAAAATTTAATTTTTTTTACTATTAATTTGACGTTTGTTTATTGAAGACCGACGTGTAAATTTTTGCTTTATATGACGGTTATTTATAAAAAACGTCAAATATATATACTTGACGGTTATCTTTAAATAACCGTCAAGTATTTACTTAAATATTTGACGCTTGTTTCGTAGAAACCGTCAAGTATTCTTTGCCTTTTTTATTTGTAATTTTTTTTAAATAAACGTCAATTATAGGGCGTCAATTATACATCTTTCTGTAGTAGTGTCCATGGCACATGTCACGTTACTTGATAACTTGTGCCATATCACGCCACGTCACGACCACGTGTCATGTCACATGGTCATTGTGAAATATGCTTAAACTATGATTTGAACTCTTGACCTCCACTTTCTAAGTTTTAAGTCCTCATTTCTTGCTAGTTAAATGACAATATGCATAATTACATAAATTATTTTTAATTTTTTAATTAATTTTTTATAAAAATACTTTTGGCTACAATAAACTATTACATAAATTATTTTTAATTTTTAATTATTTTTTATAAAAATACTTTTGGTGATGACAAACTAATTATATAAATTATTTTTAATTTTTTAGTGGCTTTCTTATGAAAATACTTTTGATGGCAATAAACTGTCACGGCAAAAAGTAATTACATAAATTATTTTTAATTTTTTAATTTTTTTAAAAATACTTTTGGGAGTGATAATTTGTCACTATTGAAGGTAATTACATAAATTATTTTAATTTTTTTTTATAAAAATACTTTTAGCAGCGATAGTT